CAGAAGAAAATCATTTCTACTCAGAAAGACTTCTTACTTTGAATCCCAGATCTACTGATGAGTATGTCAAAACCATTTATGATGATTGGGCAGAGACTTATGACAAGGTACTGTGTCGCTTTCACGATTTGTTACCAACACAGCGGTCAAACGTGTGCGCCTGCGCAATTGTTGTAATGAGCAGGTAGCGTGCTCCCAGGCTGTAAGAATCAAGTAGCCTTACACGAGTTACAAACAACTACGCAAGCTTGAAAGTTACGGTTTTTTAAAGCGTATAACCTCGTGTAATGCTCAAAACAGAATTGTAAATCAACAGGACTGACCCATTCTTGGATAAGCTTTGTGTTCGAAGAGTCTTCAGTTTTCCTTTTCCCTCCTCATGTTTCCTTTTACAGATTTAAATGAACGAGTCAATTTTCTTTCGCTTATTTTGCGAGACAGCGGATGTTCATTATGTTTTCCTTTGAAATTTTGCGCCGGAAATTGGTGCGCGGCCGGCCAGAATTGACCCCCTTTGCGAATGACCGACGTTTGAACGCTGTGTTTGTGCAACTCCGTATAATTCGCGCCTTTGACCCTGCAACTGTACTATGCGAAAATGAAATTTGTGGCCACGGAATGAACAACTCCACGTCGTGTAGAAACAAAACAATTGACTTTAACTCCTCAACGGTGAAGTGGCGTAGGTTGAAACTAAAACAACAAACAATTGCAAAAGTTATACAATACATGATTTTAAAAAATAACAAACAACACGACGGATGGAGGACTATAAGACACTTAAATTGTTACGGCCACAGAAGAGAGCAATATTGCTGTTATGTATATATCGATAAATTATACGAGGTGGTGGCAATAAGTAGCAACGTTGGCTAGTTACCGGTTGAAAAGAATTAAATAATTAACTATGAACACGGGAAAAATCCAACATGAAAGAATGTCGCACTTAGAACTTACAGACCTGCTGGCTCAAGTTAAAACGGTCGCATCTCGTCTTCGTGTTGATTGCAGTCTATTTATAAATTCTATTGTGTTCAGGTCACAGGAGAAGCAGGATATATAGCCTACAAGACTTGCCCCCCTATCTTTGACCAATTCGTGCGTGAAAACCTTTGCAACGACCCATCAAAGCTTCGAATTCTCGATGCTGGTGCTGGCACTGGGATTGTGGGTAAGGTCCTTCAGAGTCTGGGATACACGAATATCGACGCCTTGGACATCTCGCAGAAGATGCTGGACGAAGCAAAGAAGTTGAACATCTATAAAGAGTTCATCTGTGCTCCACTGAGCGCCGAACCAATAGCGGAAATAGCAACGAACCAATACGATGCACTAATCTGTGTTGGTACACTTACTGTCGGTCATGTGAAACCCGTTGCTCTGGACGAGATTCTGCGCATTGTCAAATCAGGTGATGGAAATTAGATGTACTCTGATAACTGACAACTATTCACCGAAATGGAGGTGGTTAGTGGTTGATATTTACCCTGCTGCAAGTATATACTAAAACAGTGAGATAATGTAACACAGAAAGATGATTTTAACTCATTTATTCCTGCAACGATTACACAATTTTCGGGCGCAAATTCCGTGCGAGTTTCTAAGAGGTAAATAGCAAAGGATATTCAGAATTTGATTATTCAATCGGAGCGCGCATTCAAGGCCATCCACTGTTCTATTATGTACTAACAAAAAAGATTAGTATGTAATTAGTATAAGTATGATTAGTATGAGATTAGTTTTAGTAATTAGTATAACTTCTTAGCTAAAGTCACTTTGTGTGTTATCTCAAGGGAGAAATGGTTTAATGATTACCACAAATCCAGTCTGAAAGTATACTCTAGAGACCAATTAGGTTTTATGGTCATTTGAAAAAGTATATTTATTAAATTTATAAGTGATCTCTTTTGGAGGTTTTACATATTCTCCATATTGTCCTTAAAACATTTCCTAAGGTGCTGACAAGGAGTATTTGTTTAACAATCAAGAGCTTCTTAAGTTGGTGACTATTTAGTTTTTCTCGTGACCTTAAGTTATTGTGTGATTCAAGTGTGGTATTGTAAAAGAGAAATTAGATGCTAGTCACTCTTAGGGGAAAAGGGGTTTAGTTGCCTTTTGGGGTAAAGGCTGCTTCTAGGAATCAGGACATGAAAGGCCCGCTTTGGGGTTACTCCTTCCATTTACCAGGTGGCTAAAGATCGGTCTTACATTCATGATTATTATTCTTTGTTGTTTTAGGTGGGATTATTGGATTTACTCTTCGAAGAGATATTTACGAAGAAACCGGCCCCGAAAAGTGCGGTTATCATAAAAAAATGAGTGAGATGGAGACAAGCCAGAAATGGAAACTCCTTAAATGCGAGTTGATAGATTATCATCTGAACGTGGATGAACTGCGAGCTAAATGTTACTCTATAATGTATCAAGTTTTATGAGAAAAGTAACGATGAGTTATTACAGATAATTACGGGCAAATGGTCATTGTTTCGTGATTCAGGAAACGACATCGGGGACCTAAAGCAGTCAGGATGAAAACGCCGCGGAAGACGTCGATAAAAAAACGAATTTATCAGAAATATTTATCAGAAGTATTTTAGTCAGAATTTTGCAAATGATTTGATATGTTTAGCATCTCTTACGGTGCCACACCTCAACGTGAGCACAGAGATTGCGGGCAACGTTGAGTTCGAAATTGATACGCAAATAATTGCCGTCGGGGTTCCCGTTCTCAGACCACACAAATTTTAGTGATTTTAGTGATTTTTAGTAACTTTTGTCCCTTCCACGTTGCCGTCGCTGTTGAGGTTTGCTTAAGGTCCCTCCTGTGAATGTCACTGGGAAAGAAATGACTAAGCATATTAATAAAAAATGATTCTGGGAATGGAATGTGCTCTAACTTTCGGAGACTTTCGGAACTTTGGACCTCGCCCCCAGGGTCTCTCGTGGAAGAAAAGGAACATAGGGTAAATTATGGACTGGAACATTGAACCTTTGGACTATTTTTTGGACCAATTTTTGAACGATTTTTTTTGGACCATTTTTGGGACCATTTTTTTTTTTGACCATTTTTTCGGGAGAAGGCAGACCATAAGTACTTAAGGAGGGGTGGGATGTAGTCTATCAGTACTCAGGAAGGGCTGGTAGACAGACTGTTGTAACTGAGGGAGGGGTGGAGGACGAACTAATAGTACACAAGGAGGGGTGAGAGATTGATGTATTGATAACAGCTACTGATTAATGGAGTGTTCATTGAATCATACAAATTATTTTGGTGGTTTTTCGACTGACTATTTTATGTCAAAATGTTTGCGTTGGGCCGTAGCGTTTCTTTATTTTTTGTCATGCGTGTGCCTGTTGACTCGTGCCAGTGCTAAATGATACTCACGGGTAAGCATGAATCATCCAACAGTTGCCTCACGTTTCTCTATGTGTATACAGTAGATCATTCAATTTATCTACCTTCCTTTGGTCAATGATCTTTTCAGACGACAAAGATCATGGAATTTCCGGTCCTTAGCATAGTATTCACAGGCGTTATCGCAGTTTTCACGTTTACACCTTTACTATAAAAACATTGTCGGTACAATCGTACAAAGCAATCGTTTTTCTTCTCAGATACACAGTTTTCCACTCTTAGATACAGTCAACTCGCGCCTAAAGTTGAATGTGATGTCGCGCATTTCACTTCGTGAATTGACGATTGAAACAGCACAGCTTCAGTGCTGAATCATTTTTTTAAATAACAAGTTTGCATTTCAGGGCTTAACATTTGGCGCAATTTTCCTTCCACATAGCCAATGCATTGATTCATTAAATCCACACAAGTGCAAAATACAGAATTACCTTCCTCGAAAATTACGGATTTCTAATTCACTAATTACAAATTTCCTTTTCGCAAATTGCCGATTTGAGTTAATCTCACAAATTACATTTTTTCATTCCGTTTGGTGTCATAAATTACAGTAAGCCCCTCAGAGACAATAACAAAGCGACTTCTATGTTTCGAAATGACTTGAAAAAACATGAAATCTCTTTCCAATTTCTGCAACAGTCAGAGTTAATTAGGGTCTGCTAACTGCAGACCAAATCAAAGAATTATGCAGAAAAAGGAAAACACCGAGCTGTACAAAAAATTAAAGAAACGCTACGACCCAACGCAAAAGTTTTGACATACAAATAGTCGGTCGAAAAACTGCTCAAAATAATTTGTATGATCCAGTAAAAACTCCACTAATCAGTAGCCGTTACTAATACATCAACCTCCCATCCTGCATCCCTCCTTGCGTACTGATAGTTCGTCCTCGACCCCTCCCTCGTTAACAACAGTCTGCCTATCAGCCTTCCCTGAGTTCTGATAGACTGCATCCCACCCTCCCCAAGTTCTAATGGTCAGCCTCCCCCCGATGAAATGGTCCCAAAAAATGGTCCCAAAAAATGGTCCAAAAATTGGTCCAAAAAAAGGTCCAAAAAATAGTCCAAAATATAGTCCAATGGTCCTGTCTATATTTTACCCTATGCGAAGAAAAAGAGAGGCCTTAGAAAGAGGTTTTAGTCAAAGTAATAAGTCGTAATGTCCATCATTATAAGGGCGTCATGAACTGAGGGGATGGGTATCGTATGAAATAACCAGTTGTAACAGGAGTATTTTTTTACGATAAAGGTGAAAGATGACGACTAAAGATGAAGCGAGAAAAATAAATGAAAGGATGAAGTTTTTCAGCGTGCTTTTTTATTTTTTTGTGCTCTTTTCTAACAAACTATTTCCCTCTCAAGCTGCATCTGACAATGTATTTTTCTTCATATCGAATATCATTGACAGTCACTGTCTAATTAGAGTCTTGGCTCTGATCTATGAAGACGCTTGATGAATCAAAACCAACAGCTTCTAGTTCTCATGCACTAGCAAGCGTGGCCATTTTGCCGACGATTGGTCTATAATCCTGTCGCTGTTGACACTGTTCTTATCTCAAATCGGATAAAACTAAAAAATCCGGCGGTCAGCAAATGCCTGGCCACAGCCTTTTGAGTCACGCTAGCTCGCAGCAGTGATGAAGCAACGATACAGATGATCCACAACCTTCGCGGAGCGCTTCTAAACACGATTTATACAATGAAATCGGTATTCCTTATCGCTTCCCTTCTTCTGATCAATGCTTCTGTTTTGTCAGGTAAGCGATACCAACGCGGAAAGTGATTCTATAAACAAAAGTTGACTTGAAGGAAATCCCTTTATTGCAGATTGCGGTCTGCGAACTCTTATTTATGTCGTGGAAGCCATTAAGGCCTTCACCCATTTTCAACACGATAATTTTCTAAGGTTCACATCTCCGTGTTAATCTTCTCACCAACTTTTCCTAGAATGTGTTCAAAACCCCAGCATAGTAAGGTCTTAAATGGGGCGTAAAATAGTTCTTATTTTTCTCTGTAATTAGATTTGCGCTTTGTAAGCGTGAGAGAAGACAATATTCCCTGTTAAATAACATTTGCGATTATCTGTGAAAAAGAAAACGTTTATCTTTTCAATTAGCGCATAGACCTCATTTAACCTTCAGTGCGCACATTTCAGTTAACTGATGCGTCATGCTGATCGCTAAAAGCTTTTTGACAAAAGAATATTTTACCTTTGTTTCTGCCACTGATATTTCAGAGAAAGCCGACGTCTGTGAGGTTATGCCTGACATTTAAGTGGCAGCTGTATCTCTTTTGTCTACCTTTTACTTGATATGGCTCTTTACATTTCAGCATTTCTTGTTTTAATTTCTCAACATATATGCTCTTTTCTGATAATTAGTACGTCGCCGAAAAATTTTCGTTCATAGTTGGAATTTTTTTAAGGCTTTTTGCCGCCAAGATTCTTATTTATTTTGTATTAGCGAAAAGCACTTTACTGTAATTACATTTTCGGCAAATCAGCATTGAATCCGTCAGGCAAGAGTTCAAATATTTTTACAATACCTAGATTAACGTTTATTAGCGGCTTATAATTTTCATACTTCCGGTGTCTTGCGCGAGGCTGAGGTTAAATAATATGGAATGAAAAATAAATATCACTTCCCGGCTTTTTTTCGGCGAGTTTTTCACTAAGCATTCTGTCTGTGGCAAATTGACGAAATTACATGCGTGACACACGTTTGAATTATGACAGCTGCAAATGATAGTTTTAAAAACATTTTGTTGAAAAGCGAGGGTAAAATCGACTTACACTTAAGAAGGAAAAAGGAAAAGATAATGGGAGAGAACCGGCGACCTTTTGGTCTAAATCCATGATCCAATTAAACTCCGCAAAAACCATAACCTCTCTTAATGTATCAAGATCTGTATGCCGGTGTTGCGAAGGAATTTATCTAAGAGGAAACTAAAAATATGCTTTGATGCGATCCTATACTCACTAAACCTTTTCGGCACGTCATATGATATTCAAATTATCTTCTCTGGAGACTCGAAAAAATTCCATCTGCTGCATGATAACAAATCAACCACATACTTCAAGAGGCATCTCATTTATTTAATTTGTCGGGGTCCGTCATCCATGTGGTATAAGAAATCGCGACCCCTCATCGCACATTTCTACCGTTTTCCTCATTCAAGTTCTGTCTAGCATTTGTTTCAGTTCACAGTTAGAATCTCTTTTGATAAGTCCATCTTTCATGGTTCGGACAAATTTCCTACGCCACCTATTATCCTGAAAAAGATCTGGATCAGATGACCTAGTTGAATTTTCACAAGTGAGTGCCGAGTGTACATTTAACCTTCTCCTCTCGCGCGCAATTAATTACCACGTAATCAAATCCTGTCAAAGTAAACCAAAAAATGCCTTGATATTGGTTGGGATGCACTTAATCAAATTCTCTTTTCTGTATGTCTCTGAAAAAAATTTAAAATAGATTAAAATGGAAAAAAAAATCTCGGAGAGTTTCTTATACCCCATTCACACTAACAAAACATGTTTAGATAAACCAGATTAAACTATCCAAAAATCAACAACAACAACAACAACCCGGCTGAAAAATTGTATTGATTTTCCAGAGACTTTAAGTAATCTCAAACTTGCATTTTCAAAGAGCTAAATTGGAAGTTGATAAACATTATTTTAAACAGCTTCTAAAAAGACAAAAGTTTTCAACCGTGTTTTTTTAAAAAAAAAGCTCTGACATGTCTAAAACATGTTTAAGCTTTGTTGTGAATGGAGTATTTTTTAAAAAACTCTTTGATGATCCCTAAACTGAACGAATTTTGAACGAATGTTTCGTTTGTACGTGTCGAAGTCATCTCGTCATCAAGGACCATACGAGGCCTATTTATTGTCATAAAACCAACAATGTCTTTTACTTAGCAGATATGGCTTCCTCAAATTGGTTTAATCAATCATAAAAACTTGAATGCATGGTGGCCATTGTACTCTTAGGGAGAAGTTTGCTCCGAAGGCCATGAAAATTTCATATTCCTCTCTCGAAAGTACGTATGCTATAAGGACACTGACTAAGTTTTTTTTATTCCAAAGAGTAACTGAATCTATCGAAAATTTTCTAAAAAATGGAAAAAATTCCAAAAAAATAACCTACGGAAGCCGCCATTTTGAATCATCCGTAGAAGCCCGGCCTCTTACCTGTGACGTAACAAAATTTCAAGCATGCGGCCATGTCATGTTAGTTGTTTTTCGAAATGGCGGCTTTTATCGTCGAACCCCAAGATAATTTAAAACAGTTTTCGATTGTGTAGGTTATACTTTGAAGTCAAATTCGAAATTAATTTTGAGGGCAATACAAACAGGACTAGGCACTACCTCAGACTCTCAAGATCTGATCGTTAATTCTCCACTATACGAGCTCTTTGGTTTCAGAGAGTTAACATAATTAGGTGCTATATCAAGATTTTTGAAGATGATGTTATCTTTTGTCTATTCTCAACATCTATTTTCATAGAAGTTAGAAGTTACATGCTGCCGATAACCTACGGGGGCTAAATTGTCGATCATTCAACTGAATAACAATTAAAAACGTTACCATTTCTATTCTTATCTTTGTACTTGCTTCATCAAACCATTCTTTAATTGGATGCAATTGTCAAAATACAGCCAATGCCGATAAACTCTCAAAAAGGAGGTCCATACATGTAAAATTCCACAATTCCGTGGTTGATTTAATTATTTTTTGTTTCTCTTTTAGTAGCAGTTAACAAATGTTTCAACTGCGTCGAAAGCAACTGGAATAAGTGCGAAAAGAGTCAAACTAGAACACAGTGTACGACGTCTTTGTTGGGGAATACTCACTGTTACTCTGCTAATGGAAAATATGACAATGGCACAGCAGTTATGGATGTGGTGGCGAGGGGCTGTATCGACTGCTCAGGTAAATCATATTAAGAAATGAGCCCACATCACTCCCTGAGAGGAGCGGGGATTTCTAAGGAAAAGTTTACTCAGGAAGTATCGTTATTTTCAACCTAATCTTACGATGGACAACGGTATCAGACTTTTTCATTTGCTTCACTGAAGAATTTTTTCAGGAGCCATCAGTATGTGGTAATTTCCCCGTTGTTAATTATTATCATAATTATCATTATTATTACGATAATTATAATTATCATTATCGTTGTCATCATCGTTATTATAATCATTGCTATTACTGTCATCATAATTTTTTTCATTAACAAATCAGCATATCAAGAACTATATCGATGATAATTTAACGTACCGTATTGGCTAGTGTCACCATTGGCAATTAGGGCGTGGTTAGCTAGGGTTTTGTTGCACCTCAATAGGAAACCTCATTTTCCTTTCAATCGCACATACTACCAAATATCACGGCCTTTTGTCACTGTTGTTTACTTTCTGTACCTTCTGAGGACTGAAACCTATGATGATTTGCACCGATGTATCGCGGAGAATTATGGAAAATATATGGAAAGGTCAAATCTGCGGATGAGACTGATTCACACAGCAGCCAGAGCTTATCAGCTAATTGCTCCCGCTCATGGACGGGATTTTAGTTTATATTTGGTTTCCCTGAAAATTCTCTGCACCTTAATCATGCCCCCTCCTGTAAAGATGCTTTGAGGGTAACAAGATGACAGTATCCAAGGTAACCTAGGAGAGGCTAGAACCCACACCTCTCGATGCGAAGTCGAGCTCGCTGACCTTTCCGTGCGTACGTGACCCTATATTGTATTTATTTGTCCTTTTTGTCCCGTAGACTCAAAAAAGGCTTGCGAGAAGTTAGAAATGATGATGAAATTTACCAGTTACAAGTTGCTGAGTTGTAATATTGTTTGCTGTTCAGAAGAAAAGTGTAACACGATGATGCCAGAACCTACAACTACCGCGGCGTTTGAAAGGGAAAGTCACTTGTCTCCTGTACCACTGTTTTCCGCAGCTTCCATGATGATTGAGAACGTTTTTCCTTTTGTCAAACTTGCTTTCTTAATACACATTCTGATCTAATAACCGGGAATTTCTTATCCGCTGTGGAGAGTCAAACTTTTTCACATTTGTAGCAAGATGCTAAAGATGGAAGTGTATTCCCGAACACACTTGAGGACACGAGATACGTATAGTGTCTTGGCAAAAATATTTTATGAAATTTGTTTGCTATTGCTGTTTGGCGGAGGCAAAACAATAGCAACAAAAACAACATCAGCAATCTTTATTTGTAATATTCTTGCCTAAAAATTAGAGTTCTGACTGTGTGGGATAACCATAAAGGTTAACAGAGTCTGGTAGCCCAAAAAGTATTCAGATTTTGAATATCGCGTCGTGTGTAAGAATTTGGCCCACCTACCCCTCCCCTAACTCAACAACAGTCAATTGACAACAAGTAAAGGTTAATGTTGGGTTAGGGGAGGGGTAGGTGGGCAGTTGCCTAGATACTGATATTGATCCAGAATTTGTATTATATCGTTAATTATTAAGGTAGAAAGAATATCAGTGGGTTGTTCACACCACATCTTGACGTCATCTGTGACCCATTACTGAACTGACGCATGGGAAAATGGCATGTATAATTTCGTGCGTGCAAGGTAGCTATGGATTATGAACCCAGATTATGAAAAGGGCTGATTTGTGATGCCCTGATATTTTCAGTGAAAGGAAGAAATCAAATAATAAGAGATACAGTTGCTCCTTAATCCCCTGAGCATTTAGACAGATACAATTATCCTCTCTAGCTTAAAGAATATGCACCTCGCTTCCCGACAGCGGACAATCACTCACTGACATTCAACCCCGACATAAGGAGCTTGTCGGTAACAGCGACGGAGCCAGGATCTTTTAAGTGAAAAGGGTGGGGGGGGGGTCACACTTTGTTAAACAAAGGGTTCTCACCACATTGCCATATTGACCTCCATGCTTGAAAAAATTGGCTTAAAAAAGGAAGGGGGGGGTTCACAGGCACCCACCAATATGAAAAATTACGATGCGACAAACTGCTGCAATTTGGATGTTGTCTTTATGATTTCACAAAAAGTCTTCGTGAAACTTATTTCATGACAACATGCGTTACCGTGTATGCCTAACCCCAACTTTAAAATGACGACTTTGAATTATCCATTTTTCCAACCAAGCGGTACAAAATTCTATCCATCTATCTCGATTTATAGATAGTTGAAATAAGGTATGCAAAAGGTTCATTTGTAAACTGAATTTATCATCAGCGTCATTACGAACATCATCGTCATCATCTTCATCTTCAACATCATGATCATCGAGTGAAAGACAAAACCCTGCGGACAGCAGAGGGTATGCATGTTAGGTGAACAATATAAACCACACAACGAGAATATCGACGCATGTCAAACGATTTTCTAAGATGAAAACATTCTATAATCCACCCATTCATTTCTATGCGATTTTTGAGCTTACTTTATGTCAAATGGCACGAAATCACAAGACGGTTATTACGCGGTAACCCCTGTTTGCGTCGACATTTGTCCTCCGATTATTTCTGACGATAGGAAACAAGGCGAGTGGAGAAAAGCCAGCTATAGAGTTTGACATTTCAACTTTATTATTGTGCATGGAAGGAAAGAAATCATTTCTTAGAGTCCAGTGATAGTGACATAAATTGAGCTGGTCGCAAGAGCTGTTCCGGAAAGTACAAAAATGTAAAAAAAAGAAAAAAATCTTGTCAACGTCTTTAAAGGTTTGAAGAGAGTAAAGAGTGAACTTTCAGTTCCACGCAAACATAAACTGTGCCATTTTATAGAACACAGAATTAATACTCAGTGCTTACTAACTTTGAAATAAATCAACCCACTAGGGGTAACTTAAGCATGGAGGAAAAAGAAAAAAAATAAATTATATACTTGAAAGCATGGACCAAGCAGAACTGACGACCATTTTGAAACCTCACAAATGAACAATGAACAACAAAATACTTGATGCTGTTGTTTCATAATGAGTACGATATTGTCTCGTCTGCCTGCGATGGATAGTAGCGGAAAATTTGTCTAATAAATGGTAAAGAGATAACCGTCTATTGACCTTTGTTGGGGCATTTTTGCATCATAACTGTGTCATTGATCCTAGGTCTTTGTTTGATATTGAGCCTTCGAGGTTATCTCAGACCTTTGAAAGTAAACTTAAAATAAAGCAAACAAGCGAAAAAGGGGTCACTTAAAGAATGAAAAAGGTTCGAGAAATCTGGAACCAACCGTAATTCATGACGTGACTGACGAAAACAGTTGCGGTTTCGCGGATCTTGGGACAGGTGTCAAGACCTCAAGTGATAAATAAATATAGATCATCTATTGCAACATCAACTCTTGCGATTTAGTTCCTTATCTTGAATTGTAGCTCCGATCTCGCTTTTAAAGTCAACATCTCACAGTGTGGATGGAGATCTCGCGTGAAAACTTGAGATAATAGGGTTGAACTCGAGAAGGTTGCTGGTTAGGAAAATCGTGCAACTTTCTAAACAGAGACTAACGAAGTAATTGATATATAGTGGAAGAGAAAGTGGCTCCTTGTAAAGTTCTTTTATTCTTCATGACAACAATTTTTTATCTAGTAGTCGTCCCTTCTGGAAACAGCTTGCATGCAGTTTCTTAACTTTTCAAGATATGAGCATGAGTCATTTTCATGATGATTATGTAACCCCATAACCTGACCTTATTTCAAATTGCTAACAATGAAAACACGCGAGGGTACATGTGAGTTGGAAAAAATGAAAAACAGAACCATGAAGCCACATTATTCAATCGTAGTTATCCCAATTCGTGGTCGGTAACACAGTCCAAACATCACTTTTGATTTATTTGATAGCTTCAATGTACAGCAATCAGTGTTTCTAGGCTTCAGCAAGCTATACCCTCTGTGGGGCAACCTTGGACAAACCTGTTTTGAATCGACATTTATTATAGTTACCTTAATCAGCAGCTACGAAGGAAACTTGAACTAGTATGGATCGAGTTATATTTATTTACAATGAAAGCTTTGATGTCACTCCCAATGCTGTCCTAGCTGTTATGAATATCATTATCACTTTCAAACGGAGGCTATCATAGCATGAGTAACATGGTTCTAGAGACTGAATAGAACTTTAATCTTATTAAAGCAGGCCGGGAGACTACATTTATAAATAGTTTTTGTAGCGAGCTCGTAAAAAGTCGAAATATATGAAGCATTCACCGATGATTTACTCTAAAAATCTGTAAACGCTTTGACGTATAACAGAGTCAGAATCCGCCGGATAAAACTAACTCAACCGCAATGCATCCATCACCTACCTACCTAGAAGTCGCTTTCAAATCGAACACTTCGAATTTATACTGGAAAATACAGATTCAGTTTAAAGTGTTGAGGTTTGCGGCTCGTAAGGTCCATTTTGTTTGGCACACTGTATATGCAATGCAACAAAAGATCGAGGATATTAAATGCAGTCCTAGGGTCATGTCATGGTCGATGGAGACAGTCAAATAACAAATTTTGTTATTGACTTTTTTGTACGAGAACGATATTCTTGAAGATCAACGTCAATGTTCCCTTAGTCCGTTGTTACATTATCTGAAATTCTAGAGGATTTAGAAGATAAACCAGAAAAGAATATGAAAGCGACTGCTTTGTTAGATGCTCTGTTCATTTGTTCAGCTCCCTTTGAAATTCAAAATCCTTGACAGTGCATACCAGCCGATCTGGGGGATGTCAGCGTATCTGAAAGTTGTTTGTTTGGAATTACTATAATTGTTACTATAGGAACCTTTTCCATGGGTGACTATGCTATTTTTGTCGGGCAAGGTCAAGTTTAAAACATTTTTCTTGAGCTGTGCATTAGCCAACTCTCTGTTTCAATTAAGCTCCATGTAGAGAAATTTTATGTGATTCTTGTTAATCAAATGCTTCGTGTTCATGAGTGCTCGCTATTGAAAGTTTTTACTCATTGACAGTGCATACCAGAAGATTGACCTAGGTGGTGTTTGCCTATTTGAAAATTTTTTATTATGTAACCTTCGTCACAACTTCTTTTGTTAGATTAAAAGAGAAAAATTAGCTTTGCCTTGGAGTAAAGCCACCTCTACGGCACTGATTGGTCGCACAATTTCGAGTAAAAGTTAGTTTTTGCAGCTGTCCTCGAGCTAAATCTGTGGTTCACTTCAGCTCCACTTCAGGCCTTGTTGAGAAGCCGCCAAACTCATCCGTTACTCCGGAAATGTTGCACCGATTCAGACTCTAGAACATGTATGATACATCAATCATGATGCCAAATCTCTGTACTGATGACAACTGATGCAATATCCGATAGACAAATAAGCAGTGACCCTTTGACTTAATAACAATATTGGCGGATATCATGAAATAGCCAGCTGTGGTCAGTGATGTGAACTATAATGCCAAGTTGTCAAACTACAATTGAAGAACCTTCTTTGGTCTTCCAATATTGCTCAATGTTATCCATGGTCAATGATGCAAAGTTATATCACCAAGTTGTCCAACTGACAAGTAAGAAGAGAAACATAACACGTCAGCAAAAAGAAAATTAACTGTACTTAATCAAATTTAACTAAAGTTACGCTTGGGTGAAGACTTTCAACTATTTGGTTTTTTCAGTATACAAGTGAGCATGGAATTGGTGAATATGTTGTTCGTGACTTCTTGTATTGTTTTGAAAAGTAATTTCAGTCGTTCTGACCTTTGATGGTCTGACATATGCAACACCAGTATTCTGGGATACCTAAGACTTTCAAAACAACTTCACGGGATCCGGAGTCTTAAAAAAGACTGAAATTAGCGGGTTTACATGAATGAAAGATATTGCTTTTGGAACATGTCGTTGAATGACTCACCAACAAAGCGAAAGTCATAAAAACTTAATCAAACTTGAGTCAAGGAGTAGGCAATCGTCATCATGTGTTCAAAACAGGCCTGCGACGTGACGTAACTTGACACATTCGCAAGGGTGACAAGCATATACTTTTAACACACAAATAACACAAGGTAAGCTTCTAAACGACAAAAAATGTCATAGTTGTGGTTCAGCTTTTCTGGATAGTGTGAAACCGCTGACTGATATCTTTTCATTATCTTTTGATATCTTTTTGTTATCTTTCCACGTGAAAATGTATTGATTGTAAAGGAAAATTCCTGTTTAATCATTCCTGGGTTGAATCAACCTTCATCAAAACGAACAAATCCTATATCAGATGGAGCCACTAAGGTAAATCATCATCAAGTTTTCATAACAGGCTTGAGACGTTACGTAACCCGACACATTTGCCGCTAGGGTAACAAGAATATACGCTTAACACAAAAATA